ACAAACAGCTTCACATAAACAACAAATAAATTTATATGACTAATAGTTCACACAAAAATTCAAATTTAATTGGGCTTTTAGTTCTTTATATTTACTGTTGTTATTAACTGTGTCTTTGTTTATTAAATCCAGCAGTCAGATGCAGACCCAAAACACAGCTTCCCATTCAAGAGGCTTATTAAGGAAGTACTTCTGGGGCAAGGCTGAGGAGGGATCAGGGAAGCCAGCCACACACAATTTCAGGCAAGGTCTTGAGGGTGGTAGATGAGGAAGGTAGGCAGTTCTGTAGAGTGGGCTTCTAAAAGGGGGCAAGGAGCAAAGGCACAAGGACAGGACAGAGGAATCTGAGGGCAGGTGAGTAGAGCGCCCACAATATCAACTCTAGAGCTTTTGCTCAACAGCTAGGAAAGAGACTGGGATACTAGCTAGGACCTGTGCCTGCATTTTCCTCCATAGCTGTGAAAGAGAAGCAACTGGAACAGGGTAAACAGCGCTCCTCAAAACTCACATCCACCCAGACCTCAGATGGTGATCTGACTGGGTGTGGCATTTGTGTCCCCCTAGCTCCCTATGATGAAACCCTAATTCCCCAGAGTCAGGGTGCTAGGAAGTAGTGGCCACCCTTGGAGGGTGATGAGGTCATGAAGAAGGAACCCTCGTGATGACACTAGTGTGGTCATCAGAAGAGCCATAGCAGTCTCGCTCAGTTCTTTTTCCCCACCACATGAAGATAGATGTCTCTATTAACCAAGACAAAAGCCTTCATCAAGAACCCAACAATATGGGCTGGGAAGATAACTCAGTGGTCTAAGCACCTGAGTGGCAAGTGCAAGGACCCAAGTTCAGTCCCCAGTACTGCATGAAACCAGGCATGATGGTGTACACCTGTAATCCCAGCACTGGGGAGGCTGTGACAGGAAGAGCACTACTACTCTGAAGTATGTAGCGAGATCTTGTATCAAATAAATAAATAAAGTTTTTGAAAAAGAACCCAACCACAGTGGCACCCTAATCTCAGATTTGTAGCCCCCAGAACTATGAGAAGTGTGGTTTGAGCTGCCCCGCCCTGGTCTATGGCATCCTGTTATCACAGCTCAAACTGACTAGGATTTTGGAAACAGCATCTTTGCAGATGTATTTGCAGTTGGTAAGTCTAGATCAGACCAGATCAGGGTAGGTCCTCTGTCCAGCGGGGATTGTACCTATGAGAAAGAGACAGAGGAGGAGACAAAGAAGTCTGTGTGACAGAAGCAGGAACTGAAGTGACACAGTACAAGCAAAGGATCATCAGAATCTGCCGAAAGGGCGTAGCTGGACTAGATCTTTCCAGTAAACTTCACGTTGTTGTTTCAGGCAGATGGAGCTGGCCTTTGTCTTGTCATAGTTGAGGGAAGCTTAGTGGATATTTCCCGTGTAATGTGCTGTCTTTGGGGAAGAGCCACGAGGCAAGTGCCACAATGCAAGGGGAAGTTCGCTTGACCACAGTGTGGACCCCACTGACGCAGCTGGGGCTGCTCCCGAAGGTTTTCCGCACTCAGGCCTTGTGAAGGTTTGCGTCCAGATGTCTTCCCACAGCCTCATGCAGTCACGGTGAGGGTGAGCTTTTCAGAAGTGGCTGAACCTAGAGTTTATGACTGAACCATGGTCTAACACTGGGATTAAGGTGCATGCGAGTGCTACAGCGCCCTAGGGCAGGTAGCCTGCAAGCACTATAAGGGGCAGAAAGAGGCTTGTCTGTCCTCACCCCACCTGCTGTCTCTTGCAGCCATGAACTGGAACCCCTCACCATGCCAACCCCACCTTCGAGGCAGCTGATGATGGACAGAAACCTCTCTGAACTGTGGGCTACATAAGCCTCTCCCCTTTAACTTTGGGTGTCAGGTATTTTGTCTTAGCAATGAGAAAAGAGTAACTGAGACAAGTTTCTAATATGGAAAAACAACAACAAGCCCCCGGTCTGCGCACTGCAAGTGCATTAGGTTCCCAAACTCTGATTGAACCTAATTTTTATTGCATCAAAAGTTTGCTAGCCTGAGAGGCCAAGGAGGCATTCTGTTACTTAAGTATCGGACACAACAGGCTTGCTTCTCTTCACAATTGGGCAAAGCATGGGGTCTAGGTGGCTCTGAAGAGCACCAGGTTTTGGAGCCCCCAGCCTGGTACCTCCTCCCCACCCATCTGTGCCCTGGGCAGTGCAGGGACAGGGACAGGGCCAAGCAGAGCAGGATCTCCTCCACCCCACCCCACCCCACCCCTGCCTCCTGGTTCTCCGCATCAGACTTTTGTAGGCAATACATCCTGGACTTCACGCATTTTTTCCCTCCTGAATGCACAAGCAACATTCACGCGCAGTCTACAATGCATACAGTCATTGGTGAGGACTGAATTTTAAATGGCATCTCTGAGTAACAGTCACAAAGTGCCTTAGCGGGTAGGTAAGGCCCTCCCACCCGCATGCTGCCCCGCCCTGGGAGACGGGCGGGAGGCCCAGATCAGTCCACAGTTGGCAGGCAGTATGAGCCTCTGAGAAGTCCCCAGCGCCCCATCCACGGAGACCCAGAGCCCGTGCACAGAACACATGAAGGAGGCTTTCTTCCCCTTCCTTCTGTAGGCCCGAGTGCTCTGAAATATTCATACGGTACTAAGAGCGAGAGACTTCTGGAAAAGAAAAGCAAGAGATATGAATTCCAGGAATGGAACAAAACATGCAAAAACAACAGGGCGTCTGTGACGACCAGGCGAGGCTTCCTCGGAGCTGCTTTTTCCGTAGCAGTCTGCAGGTGCACAGAACGTAACCAAGAGACTTGAAAGGGTGGATTTTTGAAAAGTTTTCTCTTAGCAAAACAACACATTGTTCTAGGATGTTCGGAAGGACATGAGAGATAGAGTTTATTTCCACTTGGCTGCTTATTAGCTGCATAACCTTGGGGCAGACTAATTGTGTTGTGGAATCTGGTTCATTACCTGTAAAATCAGGATAACTCCATATCGGGGTTGATGTGGAGAATACAGGGGCTGGTTAGGGAATTTCAATTGCCACAAGAGGGTTTGTCCTGGCTGAGACTTGGGGTCAGGGGTTATTTTAACTTTTTCATATTTGTAACTAGGAGTCCCCAAAGTATCACCTTAGATCTTATCCTTTCACTTTCATTCTAGAGCTGCACAAGCAACAGCAGCTCCATATAAAATGTTGATGAGTTAGGGGTGTGCCTCTGTGGCTAAGTGCTTGCCTAGGAGGTGTGAGGCTCTACGCTCGAACCCTAACACCACACACACACACACACACACACACACACACACACACACACACACGATTAGAAAAGAACTTTGGAAATCTTTTCAATTAATGATCTAAGCAGACATTTCTCAAGAGAGGGCACACAAATGACCAATACATACACACAAAGATGCTCAAGATCACTAATCAGAAAAATGCGAATGAATGTCACAGTGAGACATCCTCTTACCCCAGGGAGAATGAATAAAAGATGGGTGTGCAGCAAATTCTGGCAAGCAGTTTGTGAAAGGAAAACGCTTACATGCTATTGGTGTGAATGTAAACTAGGGGAGCCCCTCCGAAGAACAGAAGGGAGGGTCCTCGAGACCAGTAGAACTAGATGTGCCCTTTCTATTATTGAGTATATATATCCAAAGGAAATAAATCAGTATATTGGAGAGACAGCTGCACCCCTTCGCTAGCTACAGCGCTATTGAGAGCAGCCAAGGTGTGGGGTCTACCTAGCTGTCCATCAGTGGATAGACTGATAAAGAAAATGTAGTACAGACAATGGACTGCCGCCACCCACAGTGAAGTGCTGCTATTACGGTCACATGGACGGAACCAGAGGGTATGACACTGAGTGACGTAAGCCAGCCACAGAAGGGCAATGTATACTGTGTGTTCTCACTGCTATGTGGAAGCTAAAGATGACTGCAAAAAAGGAGAGGACAGAATAGCAGGCACCAGGCCCTGGTGAGGGGACGGCGAGGGGCCTGGAGAGGAGATACCTAATGGATCTGGAGGCAGTGGACGGGAGTGATATCTCACAGTGCTCTGGGACACACTAGGAGGATTGTGGTTTCTAACAATGATGTAACTTTCCAAATAGCTAGTAGGGCTTTAAGTGTTCCCAACACACGGAAAGGCAAATGTCTGAGGTGACAGACTAACTACTGGCCTTGACCTGGCCGTGGTACAATGTATACATGCATTGAAATGCTGCATGTACCAAATAAATAAACTACTGTGTGTAAATTTTAAAACATACTGATAAAAATAAAACAAATTTCATCAGGAAAGAAGGAAGAAACCCTTTCTCTCAGCTGTGAAGCCAACAGGGTGGCTTTCTTCTTTGCCGGCCCTCCTATCCTCTGCACCCTGAGGCCTTCCCTGCTGTGCTGTACTGCAGATGTGGTCCACTGCTGACAGCGGCCCCTGTGACTGTCGCTGATGCGTCCTTGGAGGAGACAGCCTCAGTTCCTTTTGCTCACGCCCCAACTCGATGAAGCAGACACAAGGACCCACGGGGTTCTCGGCCTGGTGTGGTCCTCCTGTGGCCTTGAGACCTAGGAAATTCAGGTTCCAGGGTGCAAATTTCATGCTGACAGAGCCACTCCAGCCAAGCAAAACTCTGGGTTTGGTCCATTCAATTTAATTTTGGATACTGAACACATACTTTGTTTGGTATAGGAAATGGATCTAAGCTACTTAGCTGATTCAAATTCACAAAATTGTTTTTACCATTGTGGTTTAAAACTCCATTAATTCTTTTTTTCCTTTTTAAATTTATTTCTTTTAAGATCACCTCCTTACGATTTACAGAGAGACAATACAAAACAAGCAACAGACTTGGTTTCCAATATATAAACCGTGTGCCGGCGTTTAAAGCATTATTGGTAACACTGCTACAGAGCAGCGTCCACCTACTCCAGGGCACTTTGGTATTCCTGAGGAATAAGCGTGATTTCTCCTGCTCCTGCGGGGATGCTCTCTGTGTGGGTCACTGCACATGCTCTTTGACATATTTTCCACGTAGAAGACACGGAGCCTGGAAGTCATGCTGACAGCGGGAGTGGGGCATCCCCAATCCCGTGCAGAACCAAAGGCCACATTCTTTTTTTTAAAGAAGGTAAGAGAAGAAACAACTCCTAATCCAAAACCAGTACCTATCTTCATGATTGCATCTGCCAGGCACTGCTCCCACTTCCGGCCGAGGTCACATTCTGACATGTTCCCGGTCCACAGCTTCAGCTTTCCTCACAGCCGTGGCCCGCACTCTGATTCCCCTAAAACTCCATTAATTCAGAATAATCTCTGTCCTCCCTCCCCAGGCTCAGGAAGATGGGGGCAGCAGGAGGGTGTGCACACATACCCGGAGGGAGTATTTCTGCTTCTTGGTGATCAAGTGACTTGGGCCAGTACAGGACCGAGATGCGCACGTCCTGACGAGGCTATTCGTGGGCTGTGGCTAGTGCTGCCCGACCACTGCGTGTAAGTTCAAACTTGCCCCTCACTAGTGCTTGGGACAGAGCAGGGCCTTCCATTCTCTCTCCCAGGTATATCGCTGCTGTGTTTGCAGACCTGAAACCCTCGCAGGTCTCACCAGCCTGCTTGTGCACTGAACCTGGGCTTCCCACTCTAAGCAGGACATCTTAAGGGACTCTCTGTGGCCCCCTTGGGCCTAGATGTCACCTGCCACTCTCGCACATTTTGGCGTGGGATTATAATTCCTTGAGCTGGCTGTCACTGTCCCCTGTCGTACACAAGGATAAACTGAACAAAGGCAGAGGCAAGCTCAAACCTGCAAGGACAGAAACCTAATAACCCTCAAGTGCACAGAATTGGCTCCAGAATCAAGGGCAAACACTTCTCTCTCTCTCTCTCTCTCTCTCTCTCTCTCTCTCTCTCTCTCTCTCTCTCTCTCTCTCGTCTACTGGTCTCCACCTGGGCCCAACTCTGTAAGGCACTGATTCTGTCCCTGGACCAGCTGGCCCCCGGTGTGCGTGGTGCTGATCCTGGGTGACCACATGGGAGGGACTGGGCAAGCTGGTCAGCATCATCCACACGGCAAGCCCGTGCAGGTCCCCTGCCCATCTGGTGAGCGACATTTGTCCACAACTACACTCTCAGGCAAGCCAGTAGTGGCCATCTGTGGGTAGCCAGGGAGTAGTGGGCATTTCTGTCACCCTGCTCTGGAAGGGCAATGGGATGAATTTTGCTAATCTGCCCAGCAGTAAGCAGTGGGCACAGACAACACTCCTGTGCCTCTCCAGAAGCCCCGATGCCACACTTAGGACTACACTGGCTATCTGCCGGGCAGATTGGCTCTGCTGATAAAGGGCCTCATCTCCATCTCTGAGCCTGCCCAGAAGTGGGCCCACTCTTGGCCACCTTTGTGATGACTCTTCCCTCTGAGGCAAAGGATGAAGATGCTCTGAGGTCAAAAGTTAGACCTTCTCGGATGCAATCATCCCTTCTGAAATGGCAGAGTGCCACTCTCCAAGGGCTTTGAGAAAGGACAGTTCTGGGGGTTGAATGGCAGGTTAATTCTGATCCACAAATTAATTTTGTCTCTTTGTATATCAAGGGTGTGCAAGACTTATTTAATTTGAAATAAATGTAATTATAGAAATGAATGAGCTATCAAAATTTTAAACATATGATCCATCAATATTGGCATGATGTGAGTGGCTGGTTATTATAAATAAAATGGGTCTTCGGCAATATGGAATTCAATTTCCCCCACAGTGTGTCTCATTTCATCTTGACATCTGGGTTAATGCTAAATTACAATCCTTAATTTCCAGATCGGAGCTTAATTTCTAAATGGGAGGTTAACATAAATAACCTCGCCAGCTGTGGGGCTTCTGGGAGCTCTGGAAGAGGGGCTCCACGGCAGAATACTCTGTGGTTTTGTTCAATTATCTGGTCCTCCTAATTGTGTCGCCTAAGTCAGGAATACTGGATGCAGGGAGAGGTAGAGACTGTTGCAGCAGTCCCACGGGGGCCAGGTGGCTCCAGGGGCTGTCCTTTGTGTGTGACTGAAGCCAGGCAGTGAGGAGGACAGTGCGCCCCACACGCATAGTCAGAGCTGCCCTGGAGCCCACGAACCCGGGCTGAGGACTGGGTTCACCTCAACCTGCACCTCGGATTGGTCACCCCGGTGCGGGCAGTGATCCAGGGTCCCAGATCTGAGCTACCGTGCTGCCCACTGCCCTCACTGGAGGAAAGGTCGCTACCTATGACCGAGGACAGGGTGAGCTAGGCGAGCTCGATGGGACGCATGGGACAATGCTGGAGAGAGAGCAAATTGTTCGGGGGACTCAGACGAGGAGGAGCCCTCAAAAAGGTTCAGGGCAAAAATCAGGACAAAGGGTCAGAAAGCTGGCACGCGACAGATGACCACAAGAAGCCCACTTCTCGGGAGTGCCCAGGGGCGAGCAGTAGGCGGAGCCCGAGTCAGCCAAGCGTGGCCTCAGGGCGCAAGCAAAGGGACCCCTGCGCTAGAGACTCAGGCAGCGAGGTCCTCACAGAGGGAGTGAGAGCACGAGGGACAGTGACAAGCCGCGCTAGTGGCCGGGCCACCAACTTGCCGAGTGCTTCCGGGTTACTGAGAAGAAGCGAGATTAGACGATGCCTACGGTGAAAATCAATATCCTGCCCGCTCAGGGCGGAGGACAGCGCTAATCCCACCAGGAACAACTAGAACAGATATTGCCAAGGAACGAGGAGCCCACTGCATCCCACCCTCCCTCCCGCTGCCTCCTCCTCCTCCTGCTGCAGCTCCAGCTTCTCTCATTAATCTGTGAGCTCCCCAAGGGCAGGGATTGGTTCTTGCTCAGTGCCGCATCCCCAGGGCCACGCACCCTGGGGCTTCTCAGTAAGAGCTTCAGGATGCTAACAGAGTGGAGGAGTAGCAAGTGAGTATGTTATATTTTTTAAAAAAGTTTTCTGGGCTACAGAGCTGTGTATTCCGGTCGAAAGATCATCTATGTATTAGTCATTTTCCTAATCAGTGAAAAAAATACCCAGCACCCACAGTTTTTTAAAAAAGAATACAAAATAGAGATATAAAGAAAAAAAAAACAGCATTAGAAACGATACAAGATTTCACTAAACAAAGTAATAGGAATTCAACAATGGTTGCTGAATTATGTGATGCTGTCCTCAGAGTAGTTGTTCACATTATCAGAAATAAACGTGTATGATTCGCTTAAAGAAAAAAAACCAAATAAGTTATAAAAAAATTCAAAAGAGGAAAAGAAATCAGAGTAAAAAAAAAAAAATTAAGCATTAACTGCTCCTTTCAAAAGACCAGCAGAAATTGACAACACAGCCATCTAAACCATTCTGCGTGTTTACCCAAATATATTTTTTCCCGTCTTTCGTGTGTCCTTTTCCTCAACCCAGTTTTTCCCTTCCACTGAACCATTTCTTTCCCTTGGATAGTATCCGTTGTACCTTTCAGATTTTCATTACTCTTGCAGGTTCTCACGCTAGCAAGATAATTCGACAGTTGCACATGTGGATCCGATTTATTTCACTTACCAATGTAGTCTCTAGCTGCATCCATTTGTCCACAAAAGCTTCCAATTTATCTTTTTTTATAGATGAATAATATCCCATTGTGTAAAAATACCATGTCTTTTTTATTCATTCCTCAGTTGATGGGCATTTGGGTTGCTTCCAAGATTTTGCTATGACAAATTGTACTGCTATAAACATGGGTGCACAGATATCCCTGTGGGACGATGATTTCAGTTCTTCTGGAAAAATACCTACGAGGGAAATAGCTTGCTTGAATAGGAACTCCAATCTTAGCTTTTGAGGAATGTCCACATGATTTCCATAATGGTTGTACCAGCCTGTACTCCCGCCAACAGTGGAGAAGGGTCTCTTTTTTCTACAGCCCCTCCAGCATTTGTTATTGGTTGAGTTCTTGATGATAGCCATTCTTTTCAGTGTAAGTTGGTATCTCAGTGTCATTTTAATGTGCATCTCTTGGATGACCAGTGATGTTGAAGATTTTTTCATATATTTGTTTGTCATTTGTATCTTTTCATTTGTGAAGCATTTATTCATCTCAGATGCCCTTTGTTTTTGGATTGGGTCTTTGAATTTTGGAGGCCTGATTATTTAAAATTCTTTTTATGTTCTAGACAGGAGTCCTTTGTCCACCGGACAGTCGCTATAATTGTTTCTCACTTTGCAGGTTTTCTTTTTACTCTGTTGGTGATTTCTTTTGACGTGCAGAAGTTTTTAAAAAAGATGAGATCCCAATTGTTGATTCTTTGAAGTATTTCCCATGCAGTTTGATTTTTGTTCATAAACTCTTTACCTACTCCTATATCATTAAGGCTTCTACCTACTTTCTCTTCCAGAAAATTTAGTGTTTCAGTTTTAATATTTAAATCTTTGATCCATTTTGACTATAGCTTTGTGCATGGTGATAGGCATGGGTCTATTTTAAGCCTTTGGTATGTGGAGAGCCAGTTTTTCCAGTACCATGTATTAAAGAGGTTATCTTTCTTCTAATGAACATATTTGGTTCATTTGTCAAAGATAAGGTGGCCGGGTGTGCTTATAGTTGTGTCTATATCTAGTCTAGTCCATTGATCCACAGGTCTTTTTTTTTCCCCCAGTACCATGCTGATTTTATCACAGGAGCTCTGTAGTATAATTTCAAGTCAGAGATTGTGTTACCTCCTGCCTTTCCTTTGTTACCCAGGATTGCTTTTCCTACTCTAGGTCTCTTCTGGTTCCAGATGAATTTTAGGAATATTTTTATAGATCTGTGAGATATGCTAATGGTATTTTAATTGAGATTGCATTAAATCTGTATAACAATTTTTGAAGTATGGCCATTTTCACAATGTTGGTTCTTCCTATCCAGGAGCAAGGAATACCTTTCTATTTTCTGAAATCCTCTTCTCTTTATAGTGCTCTTTTTTCAGAGTATTATAATTTTTGCTGTATAAATCTCTTACTTGCTTTGCGAGATGGATTCCTAAGTATTTCATTTTTGGGGATGTTATTGCAAATGGCGTTGTTTTCATAATTTCTCTCTTGGTGCATTTGTTGTTTGTGTATAGAAATGCTATTGATCCTTGAGTATTAACTTTGTATCTTGCTACACTATTGAATTTGGTTATTAAATCTACAAGTCTCTTAGTGGAGTTTTTGGGGTCCTCTATGTACAGTATCATGTCATCTGCAAATAATGATAATTT